CACATTAGAAGAGAAGAATCAATTAAGTCTAGCACAAGAGCTGCAGTGTGTCTGATCGAGAGAGTGCATTCACATTTCTCCCTCCACCGTGTAACTTACAACTGGATCTTTCTCAAATCAGCCTTATGGAATATTTTCCTCATATAAAGTCCATTGCCAGTACCCAAGGCCTTCCTAAGACACTGCAGAGGTGTTCTTTTTTATTAGGCGTACAAATGAAAGACGTGATTAATGTGATTTTGCTAATGTAAGAATTGGTTATAACTTGTATATCCTTGCGCTCTAGGGAAATTGTACTAGAATCCTGATAGTAACAATCATAATTTAAGTTGTGGCCAGCTATGTTCCCTGTAAACTGCATGCCTACATGGTTGCACAGTTATTTTCTGAGCTCTGCTCAGAAGTTCAAAGCTTCCACAGTGCAGGTAGAGCGCTCAGCTGACCAGTGGGGGGCAGGGCGTCTTGCTAAGCAAGCAGATAAATGGAGCTAGCTGCCTGCTTGAAACTGAGTCGCTAAAAAGGCAAATAAGCAGAGAATGAGTGGCTGGGGGGAGGGAGAGGAGAAAGAGGGAGGGAGGGAGGTAATAAGTAAGTTAATAATTGGCTGAGGGGGAAGTGGAGTTTGGAGAGTCCTGTCTGCCTAAGGAGAGAGAGAAGCAGAAACTCAGCACACTCAAGCCTCCTGGGAAAAGGGAGGTATCATGGACAGGAGGAGTGAAGACCAGCCTTGGTGACTAAGGAGTTAAGCCCAGGTAGCTAGCAAAAGTGTTGGCCAGAGGGCCGGGAGAAACAAAACAATGGAGATAGAGGGTTGAAATTTGAACTGGATATAGATTCATTGCCTGCTTTCTTTTTGTGGGGGAGAGAGAAACCAGGAGTTGAGAGAGGCAGAAAGATTTAAACCCAGGCAGGACTGCCCTGTCTCCAAGGTATTCAGGGCATGGGAGAGGACTGAATAAAGAGAAAACTAGAAATAAGTAAAAGAGAAAAGTAAATGCAGTTGCATACAGGGTAATTTTCTTTATTTTGTGGTTTGGTTTGAACTGCTGTGTGTGAATCTATGCCTCCCCTCCTCATTTACTACCTTGCATCGTGCCAAGAGAATTTTCTGTTTTTTTAATTTGTTTTCCTTAGTGCTCTGTAACATCTAGAAACCAAGTACGCTTTATCAAGTTTATCTATTGTTTGTAATAAAAATCACTTTTTTTAAGGTGATGATTTCATTCTTGTGTCCTGGAAGGTCTGTCTGTGTGTATCTGCATGCCTCTGACTGAGGGGTCAACTACCAGAGACTACAGCTTGTTTTTCTTTTTTCAAGCTCTTAGCTCTTTTGGAACAAAAGAGCTCGGGATACCCTTAGGGATAATTTAAAGTGTTCACCCCTGGTTTTTAGGGATAAAAAGCACTTGATGGTGCCAGCAATTTCCCCAAAATCTGTGGATTATGATTCTGGGGGGGGGGGGGGGAGTTTTTATAATCAGTGCCTGTAGAGGGAAGGTTTTGAAGCTCCCTTGTAGGCCCTCATCTTCTACGCTTTGAGTACCAAAATGGGAAGCAGCTCTGAGCGGAGCTAAGGGGCTGACTGCATGGGATAGGTGGGGGGAAAAAGTGGTAGGTGAGTGCTGGCATCTCTGCTGTGGGGCAGAGGCAGAAGGCAATTTGTTTGGGATGTCTGACTCACTGCAGTCCTTTCTGGTTGGGTTGGAGGAGTAGGAAGGGAAAGCAGGCTTTGTGGGGAGGGGGGGAGAGGGAGAGAGAGAGTGTGTGTGTGTGTGTGTGTGTGTGGACATTTGCCATAATTAAGTTTCAAACAAAATGTACATAGTTTACATAATGGTGTACAGTAAGTTTACATAATGGCGTATGGTAAGGAAAAAAAGATTCTTTTAACAGTTTTTTTAGTGTTGCAGATATCTATAACTCTAATCTTAATGATTTTTTTAAAATTCTGTGTTACTAATTAATGCATGGCAAATTGTATTGTATTAAGGCCAGATCTTTGCTATGTGGCAGAGTTCTGGCTCTTATGAGTCAGAAGTAGCAAGTACTAGCTTGAGCTATTAGAAAGGTTAATAAAACATGTATAGGCGGCCCCCGACTTGCGATGCAATTGGTTCCTAGGGAAGCGTTGCAAGTCAGGGGCATCGTAACTCGAACCTGCATTTATGATAGGCACCGTGCGCCGTCATAAATGCGGGCCAAGGACATAAGTCGGGGGGTTTTGACCCTTTCTGCACTTACAAAAATGGTCGTAAGTGCGGGGGATCGCAGCTCGGACTGTCGTAATGCAGGGGTTTCCTGTACTCCAAGGGTAGTGTTAATTTTCTTTTTTATTTGATTTCACATTAAATATTGTAAGCATTGCTCCTTGTTAAATATACGTTCTTTTAATATATTTTCTTCCACACATATGGACTGCTTAAAATATATATATAGAATGTGAATGTGTGGTTTTGTTTGTATTGGTGGTGCGCGCGCGCGCACACACACACACACACACACACACACACACACACACACAAAATACTGGTGGTGCATGTAAGAAATTTCAGCCCACCCAAAAGAAAATTCAACCTGCCCACACATAGAAAGTGTTAGAGGGAACACTAGTGGCTAGCATAATTCTAAGAATAATACAGATAGGGCCTGATGTATTAAGAATATACTTCAAAGTAAAGTAGGGAAGAAGAAATGTCAATATATATTTGTGTGTGATTAACTATCTAATTTTGTAGCTATTTATGCCAGTCCTCATATTAAACTAACATATGGAATCCAACTCATTTCCCAGCATAGAATGCTAAAATACAAAAATGACATTCACTGTACACTGTAGTTACTCTCTGAATTAATATTCTGTGCTTGGATATGAACTCTCAAATCTCGAGGGGTGCAGTTTATTATATAAAAAATAAGGTACTCTACTTATTTTAATAAATGGTTTTAAATAATCTGACCCTTATTTCTTGTCTCATTATGACCAATTTGAATAACTTTCCGCACTTGTTATTAATGTCTAAACTGACATTACATTTCCTGGAACACTATGAAAGAGAAACACAAGAAAGAATGGGCTTGAAGCATACTCAGACTCTCTTGTAAGTGATAGTCAAAGTGTCCTACTGATATTTGCATTAGAAGGGGGCAAAAGCCCCAAATCTAATCCTTCTACTCACCTGCCTCAAATTCATTGTACAAATATGCGTACACAAACAGAGGAACCTACATTCTTAGCTCATACTGTATATGTAACAAAGACATCTTTTAGGACCCATCTATGCTACAACTATTATGGAGTTAGGAACCCTCATGAATTTATATCAGACATGGTTAAATCTGTTACCAGGTAATGGAAACACAGGCCTCATCTAGGCTACCAGTTTTAACCATGTCGGAACTAGTTATACTTTTAATATAGCTAGGGCTTTAGACTGGTACCACCATCCTGAGACTCTGCACAGTGACTTTTAAAATCCACCATTTTTGTGTGACTCATTATACAATATCAATAGCTTGATATGATTGTAATAAGCACAAAAATGGTAATACTGATTGATGGCAATGTACACTGCGACGTTACTTACCTAATGTAGATTTATTCTTGCTGACTAACCAACAATGATAACCAAAAAGAGAAGATAAACTGACTGAAAACATAGCCGCGGCAAAAAATAAAAACATGATATGGAACTTGGCTTGAGTATCAGGAAGGCCATTCTACAAAGGAAGAAAGAAAACCCAAAAGGTTAGGGTAGGAAAACATTAATTAGCCATACTAATAATATCCATGTAATGAAGATTCTGGATCACATTCTGCACTGACTCACATACCCCTCTGCAAGCAGTCTCTCAGAAAAATAGGCGAGTCCCTTTAGAGAGAAAGGGCCACATTCTACTCCCCACATTGTCTCAAGGGACATGAATTAGGGCAAAATTTGGACTTTTCAAGAGAGAATATAAATACTGGCAACAACAGAAGCTCTTTTAACTCATCTGAATCTCAGTTACACACAGTGAAGTGGTTTTCAGAACAGAGCCTTTTATATTTAAACAAATCAACTTTTAAACTAACCCTGTCAGAATGACAAATCTATAGTTCACAAAGAAAACAGCATTACAACTCCTCTAAGTCTATACTGTGCGTTCAGATGACAGTAAGTAGAGAATTTTCATATACAGGCCTAGTAGATTGATTTAAATCAAAATGATTGATTTTAATCATAATTAAAATGGATGAAATAAATGAATCAGAAACCCTCAGTTGTTTTGCATTATGTCATTTAACTTCCCAATGGGGGATTGATTTTCATTGGTTGGTAATCATTAGCACATGTTGATTTGCACGTTCCATGGACTTAAATTAAAGTTATGTACACAACTGATGGGATGACTGTTTTGTATCTGAAACATACTAGGGGTGTTCTGTTCCCTCTGAACAACATATACCCACCAAACTGTTCGGAAGCAAGTCAAAACTACCTCCCATCCAATAGCATATTCAGTTTTGCAGCTGAGGATTCTTAGGATACATCCATGCAGGAGCTAAGCAACTAGAGCTGGCCCATGCCAGTCTATTTGTGCTCCCAATGCTCAGGTTTCAGGGCTGTTTCACTGCCATGCAGACATATGGGCTTGGGCTGGAGCCCACGCTCTAGACCCTGAGAGGTGGGACCATTCCAGAGCCCGTTCTATTTGAGCCATAGGCCAGATGTTTATTAAATGGGACTATGAATATTGATATTTTACAGTTCAAAAGGGGTGATGTATACATGTGCCAAATACATAGCTCTGAACACACAGAAAGTTTGTACATTTGTAGAACCACAGTTTACAATTAAGGATTTGGGCTGAAGAGAAGTACTTACTGTCCAGAATTTGATAAAATACTGTAAATCTGTTGCAGCAATGAAAAGGCAGTACAGTAGAGAATAAGCCAAGAAAAGAAGGAAAAATTTGTAATTGGAGAATCCAACACAATTGTTCACCCTGGAAACAACAACAACAAATACGTAAAAAAAAATGAATGTAAACAAATACATTTTAATAATCTTTAATTTAGTTTAATGTTTAGTGTGCTCATTTTCTGTGAATTAATTTGAGAATAAATCTGAACAGTATCTGCCTGTATGTCTCTATGATGCCATAAACTGTCTATGAAATTCTTCATTATGACATTACTTTTTTTTTTTTTAAAGTATTCAATACAGATTGATGTTTGCTTTTGGACTCCAAAGTAGTATTTCAAAGAACTTCCACAATTCCTCCCCATGCTCTTTCAATTTCAACAAAAATCATCAATCTGAAATCAGGCATAGAAAGAGCCTAATTTGAAAGGAATATTTGAGACAAATAAACGAATGAATAAATATCAGAATTTTATACAGAAACATCCCAGCCTCAACTATGGCAACTTCTAATATGTTTTACTATTATAACAATAGCCAATTAGCCCATCATAAGATGGGATTTTCAGGTCTCTCCTCCACGTTGGTCTTCTCTCCTGAGCCTCCGGTCTCTCGCTCCATGTCTCTTTCTCTCTCTCTCTCCTCCTCCTTCTAGTGCCTCCCCCTCTGTCTCTCTGCTCTCCTCCACCTTCTGCCTCTCTCTCTGTCTCTCTTTCTTTTCCCCCTCCTGCCTCTCACTGTCTCTCTGCTCTCCTCTGTCTCTGTCACGGATGCATGCTCGTCCAGGCCCCGCCCCTTCATCTCCCGCAGTGGCACTTGGCTGACTTCTGCGCCGCTCAGCCGGGCCGCCGCACGGGAGCAAGCGTTGCAATTGGCCTCTCTCTCTCTTCTTCTTCTACTGCCTCGCCCTCTCTCAGCTCTCTCTCCGTCTCTCTCTCTTCTCCCCCTCCCGCCTCTCGCTCTGTTTCTCTTCTCCTCCCCCTGCTGTGTCTCGCTCTCTCTCTCTCTCACTGTCCTCCGCCTCCTCCGTTCTCCTCTTTGTCTCCTCCACATCCTCTGTGTCTGCTCTGCTTTCCTCCTTTTGAATCCGTCGCCCTTTCTTGATGTTAGAGATGCACGCTCGTCCAGGCCCTGCCCCCTGGCTGTTCCCTCTGGGCGGCACTGTTGCCTCCCGTGTGGAACTCGGCTGAGTTCTGCGCCACTCAGCTGGGCCGCTGCGCGGGAGCAAGCGGCGCAAGCAGTGCAGGCAGCCAGCCGTTTGGGCCCTGCGCTCCCCATGCAGCATGAGGCCCAAACGGCTGCTTGTGCCGCTTGCTCCTGTGCGGCGGCCCAGCTGAGCAGTGCAGAAGTCAGCCGAACGCCAGGGCAGGAGGCAACAGCGCCACCCAGAGGGAACAGCCAGGGTTTCAGCGTTACAGAGTCACAGACATTGGGCTACTATATATATGACTGCTTAAACATTTAAAGTAACTAATACAAGATAATCAAATTATTGAGATGTGTGTATTGGAAACAATATCAAACCGTTACCATTTGAATTGAAGGAAGACTGCATTTACAATCTCAATTACACTTGTGCATATTTTGAACAAGATAAATTGTTTAAAAATACACACTTTATTAGCACACGCCTGCTTGGATGTAAATTCTGATATGCACCAGCCTCTTGCACACTAATTAATGTGCATGATGTTAGCACACACTATGCTCTCTGATGTGAGCGTTTAGTCTGAAATTCCACTGACTACTCAATTAGCTGATTAATCATAATTTAACACCCCTAAAAGGAACAGCTATCTACTATACATTTAAGAGAGTTTGTCTGTATGTGTGTGTCTGTCTGCCCCCTAAATGGAGAACATGCACCCCTTCCTCGGTTAATTAACTGAAGTCTTACAGAAAACATACACATATCTCTGGTTCCTCAAGTGACATGAGTTTTAAAACCTTTACAGATCTGACAATGGCTAAGCTGGACAATGGGGGACTCTCCTAGACTATCTTCAGTGAAATATCCTAGACCAGTGGTTCCCAACCTTTTTTATTCCATGAACCGGCAAACCTATTCACAAACTTTTGGTGAACCAGCAACATTTTAACATTTGCATATTCATTATACACATCATGAATACTCAAATTAAACGTTACCAGTCCGCCAAAAGCCCCAGTCCCCAGAGCAGCCGCAAATAGCCGGCATCAGATCCAGCAGTCGTCACATGGCGGGTGCTGCCGCAGCTGAAGCCAGCTGATTGTGGTGGTTCTAGGTGTTGGGGCTAGGGTACCTGGATGCCCCAGTGACACCCTCCTGCCTCTTAGAGTCCCCACCCCCAAAGTCCCTCACCACTTGCCCTGCCCCTGGAGCCCCCCGTGTCTGCCCCCTTCTCCCCCACCTAGCCCTGCACTTCCTCCCAGCTGCTAGCTCAGCACTGCTGCCCAGGTCATGGCTGCTCTAAGGCTGCCTCCTAGACTCCATGCAGCTCTCCCGCTGTGTAGCGAACCACTTTTCTGCGTCCGGGAGGACTCTGCCCAGCACTGGTTGGCTGAGAAGCGTGACAGGGTATGTCTCTCCCAACAGCTGCAGCAGCAGGGGAAGCACTGAGTGGGGTGCCCTAGCTCTGGCCCCTAGAGTCTTCGTGGCTTGGCACTAGACCATGAACTGGTGGTTAGGAACCATTGTCCTAGACTAAATGGCTCCAGGAAACCATGCACAATTGGAGCAGCTGAAACTTTGAAATCTAAGAGTTTGGACCCCTATCCATCCTTGTGCTAACATTCAGAATGGATGGCTAATGTTTATATTTTGTCTGTGTCTTCACAGGGCTCTACTTATTCCTTAATAATTATTTCCCAATTCATATAGGGTGAAAAAATCCTTTAAAGTACCATGAAGATATTTACCCACATTTAAAAAATGCATATGCACTGTGTAAAATGGGAACCTCATCTGTCTACTTCAAACTACAGGCAGTCCCAGAATTATGAACAGGTTATGTTCTGAACACCTGGTCGTAACTCGATTTGGTTGTAAGTTGGAAATACCCTTAAATGCGTTGCCAGTGCTGTTCGAAAAACTTGACGTACATGGTTCTCAACTCGAAAATATTATAATGGGGTTAATGGGAGGTTGGTTGTAAGTACGGATGGTCATAAGTCGGTATGTTCGTAAGTCGGGGAGTGGCTGTATAACAGACTCATCATTGGGCTGAAAAGAATCTTCCGGCCCATATAATCCAGTCTCTTGTAATAGTGGAGCATGTCTTTCACATCAAAGCCCTCAAAACTGTATCTCACGTAATTTGGGAAATGAAAGGTATGAACTATACTCACCAAGGGCAATGATGGTCCATTTTCAAAATACATCTTGGGAAAAAAAATGTGTGTTAAAATAATGGGAAAAGAAATGGGAGGTTCAAAATTTAAACTTAACACAATTGCTGTCTAAATATCTGATTTTATATATCCAGGAGAATGGGTTAACAATAAGCTACACAGACTTCTTCAGAACAAATCTCATTCACAGTTACATTCAATAATATATCTGCCTACAACAGAACATTTTTCCTTCATTTTGAAAAGTGTAGTTTGCAGTTTAAATTATGGTTGTCATTTTGTCACATCACTTAACAAGTGGGCTTTGTCACTGCCTGGGATTCTACAGCCCACCATTCCCGGGGTCTAGGCCACCAGCCCAAGAGACTCTGCTGCCAGCTGGGGTCCCGCCACTGGTCTGGGGTTCTGCAGCCACCTCCAGCTGTGGCTAGGTTGCCAACTCTCCTGGACTGGACATACCGGATGCCATCTGCACCAATGGCATCCAGTCCTCTAGAGCTGGAAACCCTAAGTGTGACCCCAGCCTGGGGCAGTGAGAGGTGCAAACAGGTGTAGGAGGGGCGCAGCTCAGCACCCACACCCTAAAAATAGTTCCATCACCACTAAGAGATACCAGGGAAATTATATATGATTATTTAAGAAGGCTAACAGTCTTCATCTGGACTATTTAAAGCTCCACATTTTGTTTATAGCAATTGAGCTAAAATGCTCAAGAAAAAAGCTCTTCCATTCAACAACTTCACCCTTTTACTAAGAGATGAGAGCACTCTTAAACCGCAGTTGAGTGAGAAAGGATAAAATCAGTGAATGATATTTTAAGGTTCAATACTTTTTTAAAATTAAATTTGAAACTGACAACCTACATTTATGACCTAAATTTACCATAATCTATTAACATAATTTAAGCTAAATTAAATTGAATATTTAACCCACGGATGTTTACAGCCAAAGTTTAAAGAAATTCAAACCACTTCACTGGAAGTCACTGGCTAAAGCACCTGGAACCAGAATTTATTGAAGTGCTAAACCTGGTTTTTCATGGGTGCAGAAAGAATTGCTTAAGATTAAAAAATAGAGTACAGGCAGTCCCCGGGTTACGTACAAGATAGGGACTATAGGTTTGTTCTTAAGGTGAATTTGTATGTAAGTCGGAACTGGCTCCAGATTCAGCTGCTGCCACTGAAACTGACCAGGGGCTGACTACAGGAAGCCGGAGGCAGAGTTGCTCTGCCCCCAGCATCCTGGAATCAGCCTGATCAGTTTCAACAGCTGCTGAATCTGGAGCCTGGGACAGAACAGCTGGGGAGCTGCCCGGTAGGTTCCCACAGGACCAACCCGGCAGCACCCCAGCTGCTCTACCCGAGGCGTCCCGCAACAAAAGCCTGGTC